ACTGGCTCTCCACCAGAATTTTTACAGGACTGTTAACTGTCTTGAGATCAGGGTAGACACCTGGCTTCTTCAGTACTGCACCAAGTCTGCCTTCCCTGGCAGAGGCCTCTGAGCTCCCCTTTGGATTACTCCTATGTATCATTTCCATGGAAGTCTTCATTCCTCTTCCTCCTCCTGCCTGTCCTCCTCACTTCTTGCAGTACTGGGGAGGGACCCTACAGCCTCATACACACTACGTCAACTTGCCTCTCTAAATTACTAGTTAGCAAATTCTGACTTTCTACAAAGATGCTGACTTAGAAGACACAGCAAAACCAAAAACAAAGAGAGAAACCAGGAGACAGATGGAGGACAGATCTTCAGACATAATCAAGGTGGGGGACATTGAAAGGAGAGTCCACTATCAAGCCCCCCTTACCGGTACAGGTTGGACAGCGCCCACCACAGCAGCTGCCCCACCCTGCACAGCCTTTTTGGAAGCTGTAGTCTCCTGGCTCTTGGGCTTCCTCTTTTCTCGCTTGCGGTCCCGCTCTACAAACGTGCCCTTCATCTTGGCAATGATGTCTGAGTCAGTCTTGGCATACTGGATGCGCTACCAAACAGAGAGCAGAAGGTCAAGGAATTCAGAGGCAAATTGCCATGGTTCAGAATCAAGACCTCAAGAAGGGCTTGCTAAGAAAAAGTATAGAAATGGCTTGGCCACAACTTCCTCAACTGTAAAATGGAAATATTTCCCACTTCAAAGGATTGCTGTGAGAACTAGGAAGACTCAGTAGCTGAAACACAGTATACACAAGGCTGATAACCATAAGCTAGGACAGGAGTGCCACACAGGGATTCCAGACACAGAAGAGCTCAGTCATGCAGGCTAAATCTCATTGATTCAGCCCCTTCATCCCCCACGAGACACCAGGCCCCCCTGAGCACAGCAAGGAGAAGACAAGTCTGGCCCAAACAGAGATGATTTAAGTGGGAGGGAGAAGGAACCCTAAAAGCTAAAAACCAGGTTGAGGCCAGGTATGGTAGGGCCTGCCTGTGATCCAGCCCTCAGGAGGCTTAGGCTGGAGAAGCTGCTGAGCTGCAGAGACCGTTGGGGGTGGGAGTGGAGGTAATAGCGATGGTCCAGCTGTTAAGAGCACTGGCTGCTTTTATGGAGGACCAGAGTTCAGTTCCCAGCACCTACCTGGTGGCTAACACCTGTCTGTAACTCCAGTTCCAGGGGATCCAACACCCCGCCCTTCTGGCCTCTGCAGGTACTGCACAAGTGCACTTACATAAATGCAAGCAAAACACTCATATACATTAAATGAAAATAAAGAGATTTTTAAAAACTTAAGAAGGGGACCTAAGATATTAAAAATTGCACTTTTCAGACAAGGTAGCCAGGAAAGGTTGAAAGAAAAGAAATGGGGGAACGAACCCCATGGACATGTGGGGAGCCTTCTAGCAAGCCAAGAAGCTAAGGGATGTGAGCATCTGGGCCTGGAATCCCAGCTTCTCAGGAGGCTGACGCAGGAGGACCCCAGGTTCAAGTTCTACCTGTGCTCCCACCTCCCCTTCCTAGCTGTCCTTCCCCAACAGAATTATAGGCTCTTTCTTTCCTCCTTTCCTTCCTTTCTTTTTTTTTTTTTTACGTGGGGTTCTGAGACAAGTTCTCACTCTGTAGCCGAAGCTGGCCTGGAACACTCAGCAACCCTCCTGCCTCAGCCTCCCAAGTGTAGACAAAAGCCCGTGCTCAGCTTCTTAGTTAATCTGTATCCCTACACATCAGCATAACAGCTATGTAACATTATTCGATTGAGGGTTTTATGGTCTTTCTTTAGACAGGGGGAGCCCTGTAGCCCCAGCTGGCCTCAGCTCTCACAGAGATCCACCTTCCTCTGCCTCCCAAGTGCTGAGATTAAAGGCATGAGCCACCACACTAGGCACTAACATAGCATTTTTAGTGAACTAGATGACAGGCCACAGGAGGCCCAAGCTTAGTCTCCTGCAGCATTATGCACACATAAACAAGTACACACACAACCAAACAGCACGTGCACACACACACACACACACACACACACCCTCCACACCCACAGTGCTCACCATGGTAACATAGCATTTTTAGTGAACTAGATGACAGGCCACAGGAGGCCCAAGCTTAGTCTCCTGCAGCATTATGCACACATAAACAAGTACACACACAACCAAACAGCACGTGCACACACGTGCACACACACACACACACACACACACACACACACACACACCCTCCACACCCACAGTGCTCACCATGGGCTTGTCGTAGAAGGGGAAGCCCTGCATGGAACGCAGGGCATTGGTAGCACTGCTGACCTCTTTGAAGATGACAAAGGCCTGGCCCCTCATCTTCAGGCTCCGGGACACCAGGATATCCAGGATCTGGCCAAACTGGGAGAAGATGGCATACAGGGACTTCTTGAGCTCTGCAATGAGAGAAAAGAGGACACATGGTAACAAAGGCCTGGGCACCACATCCTGGGATCTCAACTATCTTCGGAGGGAATGGAGCCCAGATGAGGAACCACCAGTCAACTGACTAGAGTACCCAGGTTGCGACAGCTCTCAAAAACCCAGAGTAACAGCGGCAGCCAGTAACAAGTAGTTGAGTAGTCACCTTTAAGACAAGGGTGGCCACAGTAGCTGCCCCACAGCTGCAGTTCAAGAACACAGAAAGTGTTCAATAAATAAAATGCCAGCACCTCTTTTCCTTGCTGTATCTCCAGCTATGCTAGTCTCCCAATCCTCCACCTTTTTTTCATTGTTTTTATATGTAGAAGTGTACTGCCTGCATGTATGTAAGTGCACCCGTGTTGTACAAAGCCTGCAGAAGTCAGAAAAGTGTTGGATCCCATGGAACTGGAGTTACAGATGGTTGGTACCCACCATGTGGGCGCTGGGACACAAACCTGGGTCCTCTGCAAGAGCAGCCAGTGCTCTTAACCTCTGAGCCAGCTCTCCAGCCACTCCTTCCCCTTCTTTTTTTGAATCAGGGTCTCACTATACAGCCCTGACTAGTCTGGAACTCACCATGTAGACCAGGTTAACCTTGAACTCAGAAATCTGCCTGCCTGCACCTGCCTCCCCAATGCTATGTTTTTGTTTTTTTAAAGAGCAGCCTGATCCTGTCTCACCACAATCACTGAACCTCCAAAGAGGAGGGAGCTAACTTCACTAACCTCTTACTCTCCATGAGGCAGCATCACTCAGTCTCATAGCCTGGGGCAAGTACCCTGAGGGTGCTGGCCTAGGGGGTGGGGGGACAGGCCCACAATCTGAATGCCATCTGAATACAGCACCAGCAAACTGCCTCTCCACAGCACACGGGATTAAGGCAAACACAGGTCTCTGGACCCCTAAGCCTGAGAATGGGAGTAATAGCTTATCAGCTGAGATGCAGCTGATGAGTGATACTGGAAAAGAAAATCTGTGTTGCGGCTGGGCCTGGTGACACAGGACAGAAATCTCAGCTACCTCAAGGCTAACATGGGCAGATCAAGGCCTGTTTAAAAAAAAAAAAAAAAAAGAGGGGGGGGGGTTAAAAGGGGAAATGGCTCAGGAAGAAAAAAAAACGGCGGCCAATTCCACAACCCTTGGGCCTTTTAAAAAAAAAAAAAAAAAGGAGGGGGGGCGGTTAGAGCGAGAGATGGCTCAGTAAGTAAAAGTACTGGCTGCCAATTCTCACAGCCTGAGGGCAATCCCCAGGCCCCTTGCAGTGGAAGGAGAGAACCGATTCCCACAAGTTGTCCTCTACCCCTACATGTGCACACATACATGCATACATACAAAATAAGTAAACATTTAAAATAACCTTTTTTAAAAAGGGGCTGGGGATATGGCTTAATAGCAGAGTCATCTGGGATTGAGGGAAAGTTTCCTATGAAGCTGTGAGCTCCAATCTTGAAAATTACCAACAACGACCACATTAGGGGGCAGAGTGTGCAAAATGATTAAGGGCGTGTAGAAAACCAAGGAAGCAGGAGGTAGAAAGGCCAAAGTTAACTCCAGATTGGCTGGAGAAGCGGATGCTGGAGATGGAAAAGGGTTAGCTCATGCGGGATCACCTGGAGTCCAGGCTACCCCAAGAACTCACCGTCCTTCTTGATCTTCTCATTGAGGTTGTTGATATAAATAGTGTGGTTGGGACGGGTCTCGGGAACTGCCATGGTGTGAGATGCTGAGGTATGCCTTAAAGTAAAAAAACAGTAACTTCAGCCCAGGGTTTCTCCAAGTTCTTCGTCCCCAAAGGGTCGACGGGCTCCGTTCGCGGGTGTTCCGCCCAAGAAGTCGAGCGGGCAACAAAGCGGACGCAGGACTGGGCGCTCCAGCCCGCGTGCAAAGGGCACGCTAGAGAAGTTACTACAAATCCCAGAATGCTCTACGAATCCGGACAGGCGGAGCGTGCCCAGGGGCGATTCCCATTGGTCCACGCGCCTGAAGAGCTGGCCGGGAGAAACTATAACCCGGATGTAGGAGCCAATTAAGACAGTAGTGACTAATTTGGGACATCCTAGTCTCCCAGAAGAGGACTTCCAAAAGCAGGGACCTGAAGTCCCGATGCTAAGTGCTCCACCCACCTCCCCAGCGCCGAGGGGTATCTACACTCGTGGGAACTCACCTCCAAAACCGTTGCTCCCGCCAACTACGCCCGCCACGCTCCTCACCCGGACCACACAGCTTCCTCTCCAGGCCCCGCCCTCTCCCCGCCTCAAGTTCATCCTCGCGTGGAAAAATCCATAGTCTGACCAATCAGAGCAAGGCTCGTCTTCTGGCCTCATCACCTGCCAATCAAATGAAAGCTTGGGTTCCCGCCTTAATCGAGAAGCCCCGCCCCTACGCGGAGCGTAGCCTCCAGCCCCGCCCAGACCAGTGGACCAATCACACAAGGCTACGAGCTTTTGGCCAATCGGGAAGCAGTTTACGCTCTCGTCTCTTCCCGAGACGGTCCTTTAGAAGCCCCACCTCTTCCTCTTCCGTCATGGGCTTATGTCATGTGATCACCAGGGGGCGGGGCGCGGCTTGGGCGTCCTACCAGGTGGTGTGCGCCGTTTGCAAAGGGGGGGGGGTCCTAAATTCCATTCCCGCCCCTACGGGTTCCGTGCAACTCCTTTCTGCCAGGAATCCTTTTTATTTGTTTGTTTTGTTTTTTTGAGACAGGGTCTCACTATGTAGCCCCAGCTCGTCTGGAACTCGCTGTGTAGACCAGGATGGCCTCGATGTCAGCGATCTGTCTGCCCCCTACCCCAGAGCCGGGATTAAAGGCGGGTGTCGCCACGCCCTACCCTGGAGTCATTTTTACCCTCTGACCTCTAGCTCAGAATGCAGTTATAAGGTTCCAAACTCGAGTCAGGGATGTGCGGTGGGGCAGCACCTAGATTCTCCCCTTCCACCAAGTTGAGACAGCCGCCCTTCAAATCTCCCTATTTCCATGGTTTCAAACAGTAACCCTGGTCAGCCCCCAAATTCTGCAATAAAACTCCAAAGCTCTAACTTTATTTTACTTTAATACAGGTCTCTGTGTAGTCCAGGCTAGAACTTGCCATGTTCTAACTCCTGAGTGCCCCGGATTACAGACACTACCACGTGCAGTTGCTCAAAACCTTTGAAATCTCCATCCCCGAGACCAGCTCTTCGGGAATATCCTCCTGCTCTCCTATTCTCCAACCTCTCCACTCCACCTGAAGACCCCCAAATGGCCTCTCCATGTTCTTTTCCCTCAAAACCTACAACCCCTCCAAGAACCCACACACCTCAAGCCCCTGTCATTCCACCTCCTCTACCCCCAAATCCTTTGGACTTGGCTTTGCCATCCCCTCCCTGTAGCCTCCAGGCCCCTATTCCCCCACCACCCCCACTGCCTCCTCAACCCTCTGCTGTGGAGGTTGCTCCCCCTCGTGTCTACGGCCTGGAGAAGAGCAGACTCCTGCAGGAGGCTTTGGAGAAAGCTGGCCCGGTCCCCAAGGGCAGAGAAGATGTGAAAAGACTGCTGAAGCTTCACAAGGACCGGTAGGGTCTCTATACCTCACCCTACCCCGGGTCTCAACCAACCACCCGTCTCCAGATCACTTTGGCCATCTCCTCCAAGGGTTTCCCATTTCCTTGAGCTCAGACAGCCAGATGACTCTGGTCCCCTACTTAGCTCTTGAATGGTGGGCCTCCAGCTGACAGAGCAGCCCCTGTAGGTGCCTGGTTCCCAGGGAGAAGCAGGTGCTTCCGCCCTTCCATCTGGTGACCGCCAGAGTTAGCCAGAGGCCCAGAAGGAGCGTGTGTGAGCGAGAATGGAGGGTCGGTGGTAGCTTGTGGGAGAGGAGTTCCAAATGCTACTGAGCAAGTTATGCTGGCCTGTGCCATGAGAGCAAAGACATGTTTGGAAGGAACTGCAGATAGCCATTTTAAAAATGTTTTGATTTGTTATATATGTATGAGTGTGTTGCCTACACATATGTGTGGCCATGTGTGTGCCATGCCCATGGGGGCCAGAAGAGGGCATCAGATCCCCTGGAACTGGACTTACACATGGTTGTTAGCCACCATCTGAGTGCTGGGAACTGAACCTGGGTCCTCTGTGAGAACAGCCAGTGCTCTGAACTACTGAGCCAGCTCTCCAGCTCCTTTTTTGAGACTCTATTCTGGCTGACCTGGAACTTGCTATGTAGACAAAGCTGGCCTCAAACCCACAGAAATTCACTGGCCTGTGCCTCCTGAGTGCTGGGGTTAAAGATGTGTGCCACCAGGTCAGGCCTCAGATAGTCCTTTAAGTGGCTGTAGAAACAGAGGCGGGGCTGGGAATGTGGGCAAACAGCAACCCACCCAGGTATGGCAGACCACATGGAGTTGGACTGTTCTGGGGTCTCATGAACCAGGGAAATGCTTTGCTCAGAGAGAGAGACTACCTGTGGGTGTGGAGGTCATGAGGTGAGTCCAATGCCTAGGGAGAAGGTGGAGCACCAGGGACACAGAAAGTAGGGGAAGAGGAGGCTAGAGAATAGACAGCAGGGCCTTGCCCACACTCAAATCCCGGTGCCTGTCATCCCCGAGCTCAGCTGGGAGAATTGTGAGTTCCAGACGAGCCTGGGCTACATAGTGAGAATCTGTCTTGGAAGGAGGGGGCAGAGAAGGAAGGAAAGGGGACTCCTAAATTCTCCAGCCACATCCACAATGGGCTCCCAGCTGCCGAGATGCAAATGGAATGCAAATAGCTTGTCATGCTGTGGCTGGTATGTGTCCAATTATTCTAAGAGGTTTTTGTTTGTTTTGTTTCTTGGGTTGTTTGGGTTTTGTTGTCCTTGTTTGAGACAGAGTCTCCTAAAACCCAGTCTGACCACAGCCTTGCTGTGCAGCTGAGGGTCCTGACCCGCCTGCCTCCACTCATGCTGTTACTGGCACACACCACCATGCCCAACTGTTTGCTTTTTGTTTTTCAGCCAGTGTCACAGGCTGGCCTCAAACTTGTGACAATCCTGCCTCTGCTTCCAAAGTCTGGAATTATGGGCATGAGTCACCATGCCTGGCTGAGTGTTCAGGTGTCACTCTCAACAGCCTTAGGAGGTAAAAACTGTTATTTTCCCACTCTCTAAATGAGAAAGCTAAGACTTTTAGGGGGCTGGAGAGATGGCTTCCCAGTCAAGAGTGCTTACTGCTCTTGTAGAAGACCTGAGTTCAGTTCCCAGCACCCACACCCTCTAGCCTCTACAGACACCTACACACACATATGTGTACACACACACGCTAAATGTAAAAAATATATCTTACATGGCTGGAAGAGATGGCTCAGTAGTTAAGAGCACTAGCTGTTCTTACAGAGGATGTGGGTTAAATTCCCAGCACCCACATGGCAGTGAACAACCATTGGAAACTCCAGTTTCAGGGGATCTGATGCCCTCTTCTGACCTCTAGGAGCTTTGCATGACATGGATGCATTTACACACATGTAGGCAATACATTCATACACATAAATGATAATAAAATTACATATATATTCATATACATTAAAAGCCAGGCATGGTAGTACACACTTTTTTTTTTTTCTTGTCTTTTTGAAGCAGGGTCTCCCTGTAGCCCCAGCTGTTCTGGAACTCACTATGTAGACCAGGCTGGCCTTGAACTCACAGAGATCAACCTGCCTCTGCCTCCCAAGTGCTGGGACTACAGGCGTGTGCCACCACGCACCTTTAATCCCAGCACTGAGGAGGCAGATCTCTGAGAGATTAAGGTTAGTGTGCTCCACATAACAAGTTCCAGACCAGCTAGGGTTAAGGGGAGACCCTGTCTCCAGAAAAAAAAAAAAAAAAAAAATGCTGAAGCTTTTAGGGGGAAAGTCATTCACTTAAGCTATAGTGCAGAGATGGAGGTCTCCACTTGAACTCTGGTAGGGGGCTCAGTGCTTCTAACTACCATGCTGTGGTCAGGAGGTGTCCCAGAGCGAGAGCCCAGAGCTCTGTGTGTTCATACATGTGTGAGCACTCCTACCACTTCCCACCCCCCACCCCTAGCTTTGCCCTCACTAGTCCTGGACTAGGAAAAACAAGCTGGGTCTTCATGAGTCTTAGGGCCTGGGATCACTGAAACCATGTGGCCTCCCTGGGGCAGGGCTGGTCTGGCCTGCTCAGATTCATTATCTAGGTGATCTCTTAGGCCTTAAGCTTGTTGTGATCTGGTTCTACACAAAACCTAGTTAAAGGATTTCCATCTTGATTTTTTTTTTTTACATTATTTAGTGTGTGTGTGTGTGTGTGTGTGTGTGTGTGTGTGTGCATGCATGTTTATTTATACATCTGCATGTGGAGGCCAGAAGACACCTTGCAGGAATCAGTCCTCTCCTACCATGTGAGTCCCAAGAATGGAACTCAGGTCATCAGGCTTGCTTGACAGCAGGTGCCTTTACCCACCTGCTGTTGCCTCCATCTTGATTTAACAGACCTGATGGGGATACAAAGCATTCACTAGGCACAGGAGCACACATTGCAATCCCAGCACTGGGGAGACTGAGGCAGGGAAATTGTCAATAGTTGAAGACCAACTAGGCTTCAGAGTGAGATACTGCCAACAAAATAAATAAGCTGGGTGTGATGGTTCACGCCTTTAATCCCAGCACTCAAGAAGCAAAGGCAGGTGAATCTATGTGAGATGGAGGCCAGCCTGGTCTACATAACAAGTTCCAGGCCAGCTAGGGCTACAGGAAGACCCTATCCCAAAAAGACCAAATAAATACCTAAACATAGAATTTGCACGGGACAGTTTCTGGATGTTTCCTCACATAAATCTGTCTGACTCCTAGTTGCACAGCTTCCACATCTGCTGTTTGTCTTTCAGTCCTTGAGAGAAACAGCAGGAAACAAGCAGACAGAAGGGTGTTTCCCCTGACCAGATGAGGAAACTGAGGCTCAGGGAGGGGAAGTGTTTCAGCCTGGGAGAAGGAAGTGAGCTACCCAGCCAGGAGCAGCCCTCAAGCCTTAGAACAGCCAGGCCTGTGTCCCTGTGTCTGGACAGAGGTGTGCAGCATGGTCTTGGGGGGCAGGGGGGGGGTGGGACACGACTCTCAGCTGCTCCTTTTGACTCTGCCTCAGGTTCCGCAGTGACTTGCAGTGGATCCTCTTCTGTGCCGACCTTCCATCACTCATCCAAGAAGGCCCTCAGTATGTGTCGTGTGCCCCAACTATGTGGGACCACCTTGCCTGCTTCGTAAGGCCAACGTGGCACTGCAGGAGGAACATTTCCTCCCAGGCAGCCTGGGGAGGAGGGAGAGGAAGCAAGGACTTTCCACACAGGGTCCTGTGTGCATGTGGAGTAAACACCAGTGGAACTTTCATATGAGCAAATGAGTGAGAGAACAGATGAGGGTGCTCTGTCTCCTTAACACCTGTTCCCACCCTTCAGCCTGGCTCCCTCCCTAGCATGGGAGGAGAGGCAATTCCCCCAGACAATACACATGTTCCCCTACTCTGGGGTCAAGGAAGCTCAGGAAAGATGTCTACAGTGCAGGCTGTCTCCTCCAGGTGTGGGTTGGTGGCCTTGTGGATGGCAGGCAGGCTCCTGTTGACATCTGGCAGCATCCCCCTGGAGAGACTGGTGCAGGTGGCCATGGAGAGAGGCTACACCGCACAAGGAGAAATGTTCTCCGGTGAGTTGCAAGACAAGTACCTCAAGCCCTGGGCTCCATTGGCTCCTCCCTAGAGGGGACTGAAGAGGCCAGACAGGGTGCTATAAGCATGTGAGGAGGTCTCATTCCCTCTCCTGGCCTGTCCCACTTCATAGACCAGAGTTGTCACCAAGAGGAGTCTTGAACCAGGCTGCCTGGGTTCCCAGCCCAGCTCTGACCATCTGCTCTCTGGTCAAGTGGCTGACTGTGTAGCCCTGGCTGGCCTGGGACTCACTATGTAGACCAGGCTGGCCTTGAACTCAGAGATGCACCTGCCTCTGCCTCCCTAGTGCTGGAATTAAAGGGGTGCGCCACCACGCCCAGTGCAGGTGACCATCTCTGTGCTCCACTCCACCCAGCGGTGGTTTTGGTGATGGTGGTGGTTGCTGTTTGTGGTGTTGGGACTCAGGGTCACATATATACTAGGGAAGTGCTCGCCACTGCTCCACGCGCCCAGCCTCTCACTGATAGATTCTAGGTGAGCGCTCTGCCACGCAGCCACATTCCCAGACATTTTTTTCTGCTTTTTCTTCACAACATGGGCTCACTAAGTTGCTCAGCTTGGCCTTGAGTCACTCTAACCCAGGCAGCCTTTGAACCTGTGGTCCCTACCTTAGCTCCTCAAGTCAAGTGAGCCTGTGCCTCTCTTTCTGCACTCGTCTCAAAGGACAAGACCTTTTGAGATGGTTCTCTCTGACTACCTGTCTGTCTGTTTCTTGCCTGCAGCAGCTGACATGGGCAGGCTGGCCCAGGAGACCTTGGGCTGCCAGACTGAACTTCTCGGTGGTGGCCTGGGTGGTCCCAACAGAGATCGAGTCCTACAGCACCTCATCACTGGATACCCCCTGCTCATCCCGTACCCTCGGGCCTGGAAGGGAGCAGGGCAGGGATGGTGATGGGTGGGACTGAGGGCCACACTACAGTTTGTGCCTTAACAGCAGCTCCAGCTATGATGAGGACTTTAACCACGAGCCGTGTCAGAGGAAAGGCCACAAGGCGCACTGGGCAGTGAGTGCAGGTGGGGCCCCCTTTGCTTCCACACTGCTCCCTGGATCTCTCCACCCCATTAACCCTCTTCATGTTGTATTCTCATCCCTGTGCTAGTGCCTCCTAGCAGGCTGTGCACTCAAGACCTAGCAGGCATCAGCTCCCTCCCATATCTGGCAATTGGGGTTTCCATAAACTAGCTCAGAGCACAGACTAGGGTGTCAGAGGGGCTACAGGTTTGGCCCAGCCACTTCAGGCTCCATAGTTCTGGGTAAGTTTCTTCACTTCTCTGGGCCTCTTCCTGTCTGGAAATCGAGGAGGGGCCACTTAGCTTTCCTCATCACTGTGATGGAATGCCTCACAGAAACATAGAGGATTATTTGGGCTCGTGGTTTCAGGGATACAGTCCATCATGGCAGCTGGTGCTCCAGCAGTGGTGGCAGGAGCTCGGGGTACAGTGTGTTCCATGTTGGAGGATCAGGAGGCAGAGAGTGCCACCTGGAAATAGAGACTAGACTATAATCCTGAACTTGCAGCCCACCCCCACTCAGACGACCCACTTCCTTCAGCAAAAGTTCCACCTGTGTGTGTGTGTGTGTGTGTGTGTGTGTGTGTGTGTGTGTGTGTGTGTGTGTTTCTGGGACAGCAGAGATGTCAGGACTTGCTTCTCGTTCTGCCTCTACCTTCAGTGGGAGGCAGGACTTCGATGCTGTGTCTTGAGGCCAAAGGTCCAGCCATGTACCTGCCAAGCCCAGTAACCTGTGTAACCAGGGAGCACCCACCCTGGAGGGTTGCAAGAGATGGGAGCCCCAGCACCTAGCTGCAACCCAGGCAACTGTCACATCTTTTTCCTGTCCCCCAGGGGTCCTGCTGGGTGTACAAAGTGTGCCAAGCCCTGGCTACGTTGAAGACACAGAATTGCCAGGTCTGTTCCACCCAGTACCTGGCATACCCCACCGACCACCATCCTTCCCAGAGGAGAACTCCCCAGGTGCCACCTTCCTTCTGTCCAAGCAGGGTAAGAGTTGGCATTACCAGCTGTGGGACTACAACCAAGTCCGGGATAGCAACCTACAGCTGACAGACTTCTCACCTCTAAGGGCCACTGATGGACGGGTGTATGTGGTACCCACTGGAGGGGTACGGGCAGGCCTCTGTGGCCAGGCCCTGCTGCTCAGACCACAGGAGTAGAGCCACTAGCTGTGGCTAGGACACCTGCCTGGATCTTGTTTCCATCACCATTAAAGTGCCTAGTGTCTCCCCTTGTGTGACGCTGTGGAGCTAGCCTGCATCCTGAGGCTTCCAGCTCAGAAATCCATCACAGGTCACCCCACCTATGGGGTCTCAAGCCTGGCCATCACCCAAAGCCTAAGCTCATTGCTTCCAGGATTAAGCACTGACCAATGCTTTAGTCAAGGGAGATGCTTTATAGCAATTCAGACCCCAAGTCCCCTCTCTTGCACCTGAATGTGACATCTACTGACTTTTCTTTAGAGACATCCTTTAACCACTTTCAGTTTGCTGGACATCTGCAAGAGCCTCCTACCTGGACCCTCTTGCTCCCACCCACCCCCAACCCCCATCACTCACCTTGTGCCTGACTGACCTTTGAAGACTGTAGCTGCCAACACCAGCTCTGAGCTGAAAACCACTCCCCTTGGGCCTGAAGATGGTTCCATAGGTAAAGGTGCTTGCCAAGCCTAAAGGAGAGAACTGCAAGTTTTCTCACCTCCACGTGCTTGCCATGGTGTATTGGGCATATGTACTCAGGTGCACACGTGTGTGCACACATTAAATAGGTAATAAATTTTTTAAAAGATCACTCCCTTTCTCCATCTCAGCTCTAATATCATTTCTTCATCAAAGAGTCCCCAGGCCCAGAGTGAGCCCCCTCCTACCCCACCCCACATGTTGTGTGGAGAGTGAGATGTATGACCTAAAACTTCTGACCTGCCTCACTTCCCAAGTACAGGGATTACACACATGCACCATTATACCAGTGGATGCAGTGCTAGAGGTGGAATCCAGCGCCTCCTGTAGCTAGGCAGGCACCCAGCCAACATCCCCAGCCTTTTTGTTTGTTTGTTTGCTTCTTGAGACAGAGTCTCCCTCCATAGCCCAAGCTGGCTTGAAACTTACTACATAGCCCAGGCTGACACTGAACTCACTACTTCCTCTAGGCTGATCTTTAAATGAAGCAATTCTCCTGCCTCAGCATCCCAGGGATTAACAGATCTGTCTGGGTTGCTGTGGTGGCTCCAGCACCCAGCAAAAGGTCCCATTTAAGGAGCTGTACAATGCAATGCATAACCAGCAAGGGGGGCTAACAGCCTGTCTGCATCCCAGCCCTGATACTTTGGGTGGAACAGCCTGGGTGCACTGTCTTGGGAGTCCAAAGGTCAGGGCTGGCAGCCCTATGTCCCTGCATTGTCCAGCAAAGACCAGGCACTTGAGAATAGCTCAGGCTAGGCATGGTGACATACACAATCTCAGCACTGAAGAGGCTGAGGCATGTGGGTCACCCTGAGTTCAAAGCCAGCCTGAGCTGCACTGAGTGCGAGGCCAGCTTGGGCTACAGAGCAAGACCCTGTCTCAAAATAACAAAACAAAAAAGCAATTCTGCCTGAGTGTAGTGGCACAAACCTATAATCCCTAAAACCAAAAGAACTTCAAGCTCAGGTCAGCCTGAGCTATGTAGCAAGACCCTGTCTCAAAAATCAGAAAAGGCAATAGCAGCTCTGGACCCTGACTGAGTGGTGAGCCTCCATCCCCGAGCCTGCCTCTCTTTCCAAAGTGATCATTTCCCCTTTCCCTGCCCCAGCACGAAGGCCAGGAGTATGAATCTCAGCCCACACACCCCAGATGCAAACACAACATTGACTTTGTCCTGTTTATTGGGGTGTTGTCATGGGTGAAGGCAGTGAAGCCATTCTGCCTCCTGATTCCCCTCACTACCCCATCTAACTACCTCACATATAAATATGTATAAAGACGGTCAGTAGAAAAAGAGGACTTGTCAGCCCTGGAAGACCTGAGGACTTCGGCTTAGGGAAGAGGTAGGTGCCTGTCCTCCCCAAGCCCATCCACATGGGCCAGGAATGTGACGGAGCACTGGGACAGCATGGCCTTTGCCCCATCCCGTGTGTAGAGTCTTTGGTTAGGACCAGGTTGCAGGTTCAAGATCATGGCCTGCAGCCTCGCCCACTTGTGCTTCTGTGACACCTGGTACTTCATTACATGGGGGGCGGGTCATATAGTGAAGCAAGGCAGCTCTGGTTCCCAAGGAGAAGCCTCCTTCCCCTGCCTAGGAAACTCCCTTCCTGCACCTGTACCGTACAGAAGGAAGGAGACAGGCGGTCCCTGGGTTCAGGGGCAGGAGGAGGTCCAAGGTTGGGTCTGACACACCAAGGAAGGATGGTCACAGTGCTGACACAGTGGATGTGGACGTGGTCTGGGTCTGCAGCAGCTCCGCAGAGCCCACAGAAGAGCAGGGAGGTTCCTCAGGGCCCTGGCAGGTAGGAGAGTATGCTGTGCCCCACCTGACAGCATCAGGTCTAGGGCAGTGCCAGGAGGTGTCCCATGGTGTCACACCCTCCTCTCAGCACTTGGATGGTCTCCAGATGGGGCTGTCATCTGGACGTCATCTTGAGGGTGTTCATGTAGGTGGACATGTAGCTCTTGAGGGTGTTCCCACATGATGCCTGGTTCTCTGGGGCACGAAAGACAACCTGTCCAATGGCTGGGCTCGGGGACCTGGGAGGGGCTGGTCATTCTCACAGCTATGGGGACTGTGTCACATCTCTACCCAGTGACAGCTGGCTTGTGTTGTCAGGGCAGCATGATTTAGCTCTTGTAGCCCCTTGGATGCTTTCCTGGCTGATTGGATGCCTCGCTAATGTTCTGCTGACAATGCATCCGCCTGTCTTGCTACCCACATCATAAAGGAGCCCAGTGATGCTGTGTCCCCAAAGGCTCTTCCAACCACACTGGTCTTGTGCTTGCTACCTTGCAGCATCTCATCTCCCACCTCAGGTGCCCACAGCCTCTCAGGACTCTGCCAGCCAGATATATACTATCTTGTAAGTGAGCCTAGCAATGGTGGAATGGGTCAGCTCTGGGCAAGCTCCTGAAGAAGGCGGATCAAATTGTCCAGGCCCCACAGATAGCCATCCTCATGGTTGCCCTCGGCCCAGGGCAGCCTGTGACTGAGCGTCTGGTGGTCAGGCAGGGCGACAGTCTTGCCAAAGTCAATCATCCAGACCTTGGCCAGGCCGGTGTGGTCATGCACAAAGAGAAGGGAGCTGCCCACTACCTGCAGCGGGAAAGAGAAGCAGTTAGGGAGAGGAGCAGGCAGGCAGTCAGTCTATTCCCCACCGGGTATCAGAGCAGGGTGGTAGACAATGGGAACCCTGGAACCAGGCTGCCCAAGTTCAAATCCTGACTCTGCCACTTCTAGACTGCATAGTCTTGTGCAAGTTGTTTGTCTGAGTTCCTTTTTGATTTTCGAGGGGTTTTTTTGTCTTTTTTTTTTTTTTTTTTTTGAGACAGGGTCTCCTTATAGCCCCAGCTGGTCTGGAACTAGCTGTGTAGACAAGGTTGGCCTCAATCTCACAGAGATCTGCCTGCCTCTGCCTGCTTCTGCCTCCTGAGTACTGGGATTAAAGGCATGTGCTACCACACCTGGCAAGCATGTTAACCTCTCTGGGGCTGTACTTCTTTATACACAAAGTAAGAATAATAGTAGAATTTATACACATAAAGCATTTAAAATGGTGCCTAGTATATAGCAAATAGACAACAAGTGTTACTGGTTATCTTTTGTGTACATACTGAAGATGGACAGAGCTAGCAAACTAAGCAGGGATTCTACAGGCTGACCCACACCCCAACCCCTGTTATCTTCTTTTTCTTCCTTGCTTTCTTTCCTTTCTCGCCCCTCCACCCCCCCCCCCCACCTTTTTAGAGACAGGGTTTCATGTAGCCCAAGGTGGTCTTGAACTATCTGTATAGCCAAAGATGCCTTTGAACTCCTGATCCTTCTGTCTCAACCTGCCAAAGTGCTGATTAGAGATGTGCACTAAGATGCCTGGCTTCTTTTGTTTTTGTTTTCTTGAGATAGGGTCTCTTTATATAGCCCAGGCTGGCCCAGAATGCCCAATCCTCCTACCTTCACCTCCTAAGTGCTGGGACTTGCCAGCACGCTGAGCTATTTTCTTTCATCATTTTATAAGCCAGAGTAGAAACTCAAATGGTTTCAAGACCCTGAATGGGTCAGAGAGCCCAGCAGGAGTGGAAGAACAGCAGCGAGGCCCAGATTAGGGCAGCAGCTTCTTAAGCTAGTGGACTGTGGCTGATGACGTCAGACAAGTGGCTTCCTTCCTCTGGCCTGGTGTCCTGTCTGTAGAATGGGGAAGTTGGTAACACTCTACCTCCTGGGGTCACCAGCAGCATCCCACAACCCACACACTCATCAAGTACCTCCGGGCCTTCAGTAGATATTGTTCATTTTACTTGTTTTGCAAACAGTCACTGCAGAGCAGGGTGTAATGCACTCCCCCCTGTAATCCCAGCAGAGGCAGTACAGTCGCAAATCTGAGGTCAACCTGGGCTGGTAGTGAGTTCAAGGCCTGCTGCAACTACAGAATGAAACTGTCTCGAGAAAAAAATTTATTGAGACAGGCATGGTAGTGCATGCTTGTAATCCCAGCACTGAGGAGGCTGATGCAAGAGGGTGGAGAGTTCCAGGCCAGCCAGGGCTACATAGTAAAACCCCATCTCAAAAACAAACTAATCGGCCAGCGAGATGGTTCATCAGGTAAAGGCACCAGCTACCAAACCTGACAACCTGAGTTCGATTCCCAGGACCCACACAGTGGAAGGCAAGAACAGACTCCCAAAGTCTGCCCTTTGACTGCCACATGAGCACCATGGCACACATACCGCCACTTAGCCCCCTACATGTAATAAAAAATTATGCAAAGTGGAGTCATCTTTCTAAAAAAACAAACAAAAAGCTAGTTGCCCTCCCTTCCTCTAACTCCAGTTTTGTAAGATCTTCCTGTTTGTCTTAAACCAGGTTTCCAAATACCACTGTGCTGTACTGTCAGACCCCAATTCCTGGAAAGCTGAACAAGTGCTTGTCAGAAGAGATAGATGCCACCAGGCCTACTGGGGCAGGCCTGTAATCCCAGCTACTTGGGAGGCTGACACAGGAGGATTTGGAAACTCAAGGCCTGTAGACTGAACTATAGAGTGAGCTCAAGATTAGCCTGGGCAACTTAGGACCTGTCTCAAATAAGAACTGGAAAAGGATAGAGAGCTAAGGATGGTAGAGTGCTTGCCATCAGGCAAGGTGGCACACACCAGTTAATCCCAGCATTGAGGAGATGGTGGTAGGTGGAGCAAAAATTCAAAGTCGGCCTTAGCTACATAGCAAGTGAGGCCAGTCTGGGCTACATGAGACTGTCTCAAAAAACAATGGAAAACCAGGCGTGGTGGTGCATGCCTGTAGTCCCAGCACTCTGGAGGCAGAGGCAGGCAGATCTCTATGAGTTCGAGGCCAGCCTGTTCTACATAGCAAGCTTCCAGGCCATTTGGGGCTACAGGGAGACCCTGTCTCAAAAAGACCAAAAAACCCCCCTGCAGTTTGTAACATATAGTAGCCTCCAATCTGAGCTGGCGTGTAAGCAGTGTCCTGTGTGCACTGGTGTCCTGTGGTGTGATGGCATGCACAGTGCAAACTGTGCATGTTGTGTGCTTAGAATCGATGTTGCAGTGATGTCACATGACGTGTCCCTGGTGAGTGCTGCCAGAGTCGTCTTAGATTCATTGCATGTTTGATTTTGAATTGATCTTTGGCCATTGCTCTATCATCTGTCTATCTATCTATCTATCTATCTATCTATCTATCTATCTATCTATCTATCATCTGTCATCTATTTATGTTTTTGAGACAGGGTCTCCCTGTAGCCCCAGCTGTCTTGGAACTATGTAGACCATGCTGACCTTGAACTCAAGGAGATCTGCTTGCCTCTGCCTCCCGAGTGCTGGGATTAAAGGCATGCACCACCACGCCCAGCGAAATTTCATGGTTTAAAATAATTATTCTTCAGCATGGTGGTACACGCCTTTAATCCCAGCACTTGGAAGGCAGAGCCAGGCGGCTCTCTGTAAATTCAAGGCCAAGCCTGGTTTACATAGGGAGTTCCAGGCCAGCTGGGGCTGCAGGAAGACCCTGTCTCAAAAAGAACAAAAAAAAATTATTTATTTTTGTGTGTGTCTATGGGTATGTGCACATGTGTGCAGGTGCCCTCAGAGGCCAGAGGCATGTGATCCTCTGAAACTGAAATTACAGGTGGTTACAAGCCACCCAATATGGGTGTTGGGAATCAAACTCAGGTCCTCTGCAAGAGCAATATGTACTCTCTACTGCTGAGCCATGTCTCCAGCCTGAAATTTCATATTTTAAATGGTGGCAACTGTTAAATCACCAGGCAACCAAAACAAAATACAAAGAGAGGAGAGAAGATGTGGTCCCCAGGCTGCTATGCTACTCTGTAACCCCATATAATCTGAAGGCAGTGACAGGAACAAGATGACATTCAGGAACAGGTGACATTTGATCAAAATAAACACAACAATGACAGCTGGCACACTGATGGTTTACTATGGGCTGGGCTCTAATAAATTAGCCTATTTACCTACACCAGTGCTCATGTGGCTGCTGCTGTCACCAAACTGCAGGTTTGGGGACACCAAGGCCTGCTGGAATGGCTGCCCAGGCTCAAGAGGGCTAAGGATAGGCAGAGCTGGGACTGGGATATGGAATGGTGTGACTTCCAGCTCAGGGCGGTGAGGGAGAGTCAGTGATGTCACAGAGAAGGCAGAGGGCTGGAGGGGGCAGATGAAGGAGTTTGGAGAGGGGAGAGGATGCCATACAACAGTGACTTGCCGACACGCACAGTGGGACACAACTGTAATCCCAGAACCCAGGAGGCTGAGGGGCAGGCTAGGCCACATGAAACCCTATCACAAAAAGAAAAAAAAAAAAACAAAAACACGGCTGGCATTGTGGTGCATGCCTATTTTTTCCCTTTGGTCTTTTTGAGACAGGGTCTCCCTGTAGCCCCAGCTGGCCTGGAACTCCCTATGTAGACCAGGCTAGCCTCAAACTCACAGAGATCCACCTGTCTCTATCTCCTGAGTGCTGGGACTAAAGGCATGCACCATGCTGGGGGTGGTGGTGCAGGCTGTAGCCCCAGCACTTGGGAGGCAGATGCAGTCAGATCTCTGTGAGTTCAAGGCCAGCCTGGTCTATATAGTGAGTTCCAGAACAGCCAGGGGTGGGGTGCATAGTGAGACACTATCTCAAAAAAAAAAAAAAAAAAAAAAAAAGGACTGGGCGTGGTGGTGGTGCATGCCTTTAATCCCAGGACACAGAGGCAGGTGGATTCTCTCTAAGTAGCCTAGTTTACACAGAGTTTCAGTCCAGCCAGGGCTATATAGTGAGACCCTGTCTCAAACAAAAAAACAAAAATAATAAAATTTTAAAAACAAAAGCAAAAACAAAATACAAAAAACTGGAGCCTAGCAAGCTAATTCAGTGGGTAGGCGCTTGCCAAGAAGCCTGCCGGCCTGCATTAGAGCCCCAGGACCTGGGTGATGAAAGGAGAGACACTCCGGAAAGTCGTCCTCCGACCTCCACATGTGTGCTACATGTGCGTGTGCGTGTACAGAGAGAGACAGAGAGAGGAGAAAAGATGAAAAGATAGGCTGGGAAGGAGGGAGGGGAAGGGACGGGTGGGTAGGAACCTCCCAACAAGGGAGGCACATAACAACCATAAATAATCACCATCATAAACCAATTCTAAGAACTTGGAGCAACGTAAATGCCCTTGTATGTCCCAAAGGTCACTCTCCAGTGACTCTTACTCCTCAGCAGTCCTGGGGGGAAGGAACTACTACTGTTCCTGCCCCTGTCAAAGAGGACAAACCTAGCTGGATGTGGCAGCAAGTGCCTGTAATCCCAACACTTGGGAGACTAAGGAAGACTGTAAGAGGCTGGCCCAGGCCACAGGAGACCCTGTCTCAATAAACTATGCTCCACTCCCTCAAAGGAAAAAAAAAGGGGGGGGAGGGTGAGTCACATTCCAGGGACACACGTCACAGCTGACCTTCATCCCCAGGCCACCTGGCGAGAGTCCACACTCTTTACTTCCTACCTTCCCGAAATCCCCTTTGCTGAGCCCCAGAACATGAAGCCCGTGTATCCCACACCCATGTACACCCCTGGCATCCAGGGTCCGCACCTCATGGGTCTTGAAGAAGGGGGAGTTCTCCAGAGCTTCTCGGAGTTCTTCCAGACGCGCCACATACTTTCTCTGAGTGTGAGAGGAGGGTGTCTTGTTAGCACAGGAACTCAGCAAGCCCTGTGTGAGCCACCTTGAGATTGGCCCTCATCCTATACTGACCTTGAGCAGGCAGACTGCAGTCAGGAGGGGATAAGGAGAGCCAGGGAAATGGGGAGACAAGGAGGTGAGGGGGTGGAGCCATCAAGATGACACAAGAAATGAGGCAGATTATGTGAACCCCCACAAATCCAACAGCTCCCCAATGAGAGGTAGAGACAGTTTCCCCTTCCCCATGGGCTAGGCTTGGTCTCGTGATATGGCCTTTTTTTTTGTTCTGTTTTCATATTTTGAGACAGGGTCTCCCTGTAGCCCCAGCTGTCCTAGAATCACTGTGTAGACCAGGCTGGCCTTGATCTCAGAGATCCACCTGCCTCTGCCTCTCTGGGATTAAAGACGTGTACCACCATGACCAGCGATATAACCTGCTTTACCCAAGGGAGCATGGCCGTTATGAACCCAGACATAGCCTGGGCATAGCCTGGGCATAGCCTGGACACAAGGAGGCTTTGAATTCCACGTGCTATCTCTGCTTCCTGTTCCCATGATGACAGCAGCCCAGCTAGCCTACAGCCAAATCCTGAACCAAGACAATACAACAGGTGGACACATGAGCCAGGCCACCAGTGACCAGCTGGTCTCACCAAGCCACCAGCTGAAGGCAGACTGTGTGAGCAAAGTCAGTCTTTATGAGCCCAGTCCAACCCAACCCAGCTCAAAGCAAATGAGGGCATAAGCAACAATAAAGGGCGGCTGTCCAGGGCTATGTTTGGGGATACGGGCGTCCCACATACCAGGATTGCAAGGTCTCCATCCACAAAGTCTTTCAGCACCTTGGTCACGTGCTCTAGGGCCTGTGTCTTCTTGAAGTTGGTGTTGCAGGTCCCATCAGCCTTCTGCAAAGCAAGGGTTAACATGCTGTCAGGTCTGCTGATTCTACCCCCACACTAAGCAACCCCAGGCACCTCCTGGCTACCCACCAGCCAAGATGACCAATGCTCAGGAGAAACAGTCCACCTGCCCAGCCCAGCTCAACCCAGCCCCATGTCACACTCCTGAGTAACATGCCCGTCCAACTCTAACTTAGAAACTCATGGCTGAGCCTGGTCAGCAAAACAGATTATGAGGGGCAAGGATCTGGCTTTCAGTCATGACTGCTACTTTCTAGCTGAGCAGACTTAAGCAAGTCCTTCTGTTTTTTGAGACAGGGTCTCACGTAGTCCAGTCTGGACACATACTCACTGCTTAGCTGAGATTGGCCTTGAACTCCTGATTCTACTGCCTCTAACTCCCAAGTGCTGGGATTACCAGAGTGCACCACCACATCCAGATAAACAAATCCCATTACCCGCCTTAGTCTCAGATGCCTCATCTGAAAAATGTGCGGCTGTCTACTTCCTAAAACTAGTGTGAGGGTTACCTAAGGCTGGGTGTGTAGGATACAGTGCCCAAGAAATAAATGAGCAAAAGTTCTTTTCCTTTTTTTTTGTTGTTGTTCTGGTGTCTGGATTAAACCCGTTAGACATCCATTAGACAATCATTCTGAAGCCACACCTCCAGCCCTTGGTTTTGGGTTTTGTTGTTGGGCTTTCTGTTTTTTAAAACAAGGTTTCGCTGTAATCCCAGCTGTCTTGGAACTCCCTATGTAGACCAGGCTGGCCTTGAACTCACAGAGATCCACCTGCCTCTGCCTCCCAAGTGCTGGGATTACAGGCATGCACCACCACACCCAGCTCTTTTTTTTTTACGACAAGGTATCTGTGAGTTGCCCAAGCTGGCCCTGAACTCACTTTGTAACCCAGGCAGGTCTTGAATTTACAATCCTCCCTTATAGGGATGACAGGTCTGAGCCACCATATCTAGTTTTTCCAAGTATGTTTAATTCATAAAATAAAAACTAAACAAAGAATGCAAGAAGACAGAGAGGCGTTCTCCACAGCAGAGGGGAAAGGATCCCTCCACCTACTACATTGGATCTGAGGGAGGAGGACCAGGTTTGGGAGCCTAGGGAGGCCAGGGCAGAAGAGAAGACTGAACTGGGCCTGGCCTTCGGGAAAGAGAAGAGAAGATGGCGCATGGAGATGCCCAGTCAGGTAGATAAGCAAACCCTGCTTCTGCTGGATGCAGGGGTGAGAGGAGGGGCCTCCCCCGGGCCAGCCCGTCCAGACTCTGCAGTCTCCAGGTAGTTTCCTTCCGGCTTCCCCCACAACCCCTGCTCCTCAAGATGCCAGTGCTCTGATCCCATCCCAGATGAGCCTGCTGGTTTGCGGCCCTCACCTTGATGCCTTCAATCCGGAAGCCCAGAGTGGAAGTCGAGCTCATGGTCTCCCTCCACTGCATGTAGCGGGGCTTGGTGACTGCACCCTGGGCATGCTCCTCGGGGGTGGGGGCCCCAGGGTCCACTGCCACCATCTTCTCGTACATGTCCTTCCGGGGCCTGGGTCGTTCTCGAGCCTTCACCAGCTCCTCTTCCAGGTAGGTCCTGAGCACACAGGATGTGACAAAGGAAATCATGAAGCACAGGGCTGGAGGGCTCGCTCTTCCTGATACCAAGATGTATTTAAATCTATATGTGGACACTTGGTGTGGTGGCCCAAGCCTGTAATCTTAGCACTTGAGAGGCAGAAGCAGGAGGATCATCAGTTCAAGGTCATCCTCAGCTATATAGTGAATTTGAGATCAGCCTGGGCTACATAAGATCCTGTCTCAAAAAAGCAAAACCAAACAGAACAGAAGACTAAAAGCTACAGGGCAGCATGAGAATAAAGAGACAAAACGAAACAGGGCTCCCTAAATAGACATGAACATCCCATCCGCCACACTGGTAAGAAAAAAGCACTGCAATTCAGTGGTGGAAGGGAGGTCTTTGCAACAAAGGTACAGGGCTGGTAATACACCTGGACAGAAATGAAGATGCCCAGCTGGACGTGGTGAAACCCACACACAATCTCAACACTCAGAGGTAGAGATGGGCCAGCAAGACGGCTCAGTGGGTAAAGGTCCTTGCCACACAAGCCTAATGCCTGAATTCTATCCCCTTGACGAGAACCAACTCCACAATGTTATTCTCTAACTTCCACATGTGCGCACACACACACACACACACACACACACATCATACACATACAATAATAAAATAATGTTTAAAGATTTGTTTTACTATTTTTAACTATGTGCACTGAGTGTATGTCTGTGTGGGGGTATGTACATGTGAGTGCAGGTGCCCACAAAGGGCAGAGGCCTTGGATCTCCTGGAGCTGAAGTTACAAGCCGTTGTGAGCTGCCTCATGTGGATGCTGGGAATTGACCTCAGGACCTCTGCAAGAGCAGTATGTGCTTTTAACCTCTGAGCCATTTCTACAGCACAATTTTTAAAAAATTTAAAGGTAGAGACAGGAAGTCTGAGTGATCAAGGCTAACCTCAGTTACACAATCAGATATTGTCTCAAAAAAAAAAAATCCAACAGAAAATGAACCCCGATATCCACCTACCACCATATACATTAACTCTAGATGGATTGTAGATCTAAATGTGAAAATCAAAACAATAATAACATAGATGGGTATGGTAGTGCAGGCCTATATACCAGCACTTAGGAGGTGGAGACAGGAAGATCAGAAATTCAAGGTCATCCTCAGCTACATAGCCAGAATGAGGCTAGCTTGAGTTACATGACATACTCTCCTTCAAAAAATAGTAATAATAGCAACAACAATAAAAAACAACATTCAATTAGGGGCTAGAGAGATGGCTCAGAGGTTAATAGCAGTTACTGTTCTTGCAGAGAACCCAGGTTCAGTTCCCAGCACCACGGAAGCTAACAACCCTCCTTAAATCCAGTTCCAGGGACTCTGACACTCTCTTCTGGCCTCCACAGGCACCAGGTATACACCTAGTACACTTACATACATGCAGACAAACACTCAAATGTTTTAAACATATTAAAAAAATAAAAATCTTTTAAAAATAAAACAATGAAATGCTATTATATACCATCAGAATGGTTTAAATTAATGAAATATTTAATGAAACAGACAAGAATATCAAGACAGAATGTCAGGATAGAACAGGAATCCTTGGACATTACTGGTGGGGATGTACTCCATGTAACTACCTTGAATTGACTTGGCCCGATCTCAAAAAAACCCACCACCTACCCTGAATCCCAGCCGCATGGCGGCCCCAAATCCTACCTGCTGCCCATCTTGCAGTCCATGATGGAGGGACCCTCAAAGTCTGCCAGGAGATCTTCCATCTGGTTGAAGGCCTGGCCATCACGCTGCACCATGCCATAGTAGGTGGGCACAAAACACCGCAGGGAGTCTCCCATCAGCTGTTCCAGGCTGCGCTGCTCACACTGACAGAAACGCTTCAGAATCCGACCATCCTCTCCTGCCTGGAAGTTCCCTATGGGAAGCAGGATCAATAAGAGGGGCTGGATCAGAGGGATACCCACCACCCTCCATTTCCCTGTATGTATCAAATGCTGGCCACCACCATCTTGCCTGACACTCCTGCAATGGCGTCTCTCCTTGCCTGAAACTTTCAGAAGCTTGGCCTGGTGTAGGGTCTGTCCTTCTTGCCTCCCTTGCTCCCTCCTTCCTGCCCTCCTTCTCTCCCTCCTTTCCCTCCTCTTCTTTCCAATATTTTATTTTGAGACAAGGTCTGATGTAGCCTAGGCTAACCTTAAACTCTGTGTAGCCAAGGCTGCCTTGAATTCCTGATCCTCCAGCTTCAACCTCCCAAGGGCTGGGATTACAGGCATGTACCACCACACCCGGCTTTACATGGGCATACATCTGCTCCCTGCTGGTTAATAGAGTCCTGTTCACAGTACAATGTACCACTATTTGTTTTGTAATTTTTAAAAATATTTTATTTATTATTTTTATTTTATGTGTATGTGTGCATTGTGTGCATGTATGCAAGAGCACCCCTGTAATGCAATACCCACAGGGGATAGAAGATGGCACTGAAATCCCTGGAACTGGAATTAAACATCAAGTGGGTGCTGGGATTTGAACCCAGGTCCTCTGCAAGAGCAGCCAGTGCTCTTAACTGCTGAGCCATCTTTCCAGCCCCAAAAGGGTGATCATTTATAATCCTCTCTTTGGGATAATGAGACTCTAACTCCAGTGGGCTACTCCCCTCTAATTTTAAACTATATCTCTTTGCTGTGAAAAAACAGAAACTTCGTTTTCCCTGAATATGAACAAAGAGGAATATAGTTGGTGTTTGGTACACCTACCCCTCTCTTAAATTGTTTCTATCCCACCATTTCATGGCATGAATTTTCCAGGCCTGATCTGTACTCCCTCCCCCCATGCTGACAACAGTATCCAAATAAAATCAGTTCTGCTGATCTTTCCTGATAGAATTTTTTTAACTGCTCCAGTTGTATACTACCTATAAGATATTAGGTTAGTTGCACAGCCTTCTGTGTCTTAGTTTTTTCCTGTGGAAAATGAACAGAAGGTCCACTTTGTGGCAGAATTGGTGCAGCATTAAGGGAAATAATATATACTAGTGTAAGATCTTGACACATGTACTACAAATAAAAATACTATCCTTTTCATTTTTCACTTAAGATAATGCAGTTTATACATTTTTATTGACTTTTTAGGCCCTGATCTTGGCTTTCTACACACTGCACCATATCAACTCTGTGGAGAATTATGGGCATGCCTTACCTGTATCTCTGCATCCCCAAAGGTGAATTTGGGACTGTCATGCTGCCTCTCTCTACTATATTGATAATGATGAGACTTGGGATCTAATCCAATTAAGCATAAAAAGGGAAAGAATTTTCCAGTTTAGAAGTCTCTAGATTTCA